CTATTTTGCAACTTTGAGAAAACAGATACATTCAGAAAGCATCCAGAAACCACCTCCCCTTCTATACTGTGACTTCCACATTGGATTACATCCCCTATTTCAATACCTCTGCTTAGTGTGGAGAGGCAGCCCAGCACAGGAGTTAACAGCACAAACTGTTGAGCCAAACTCTTGGGTCTTAATCTCAGTTCTGCTTACTAGCGATATGACCTTGGGCAAGACACTAGAACTCTTTTTTTTTTTAACGTTTTAATACAGATCAGCATGTCGGGTTCACTTCAGCTCCTTCACCGCCAAACCCGGGGGAGGGACTACTTCAGCTTCTCGGCCTTCTCTTTGTCCGTGATGACCAAGGTATACAGGTGTCTGCTGCACCGGACTTTGAACTTCACATTATCCTTATTTTTCTTGATCTTGACAGATTTGGCGTCCTTCTGCCGGGCTGTGAGCAGGAAGACCTTAATCTCCTCAATCTTGCGAGGCATGGCTTCGAGGCACGGCAAGCAGTCAGAGGCGAAGAGGGTGAAAAAGAAAAAGCGAAACTACAACTCTTTATGACTCAATTTCCTCATCTGTAAAATGAAAATCATAGACCCTAGTTCATAAGGCTGAGGTTTAATGAATGAATACATGGAAAGCACTGAGAACATTTCCTGGTACAGGATAAGTGCTATATAAATATTAACTACTATTGTTGTTGTAAGGAATAAATAAACTAACAAGTGGAATGTGCTCAGAACAGTGCCTAGGACCTAGTGAACCCGATTACCCATCCATTATTGAGAACATTCATTCATTCATCTCTTCAACAAATATTTACTGAGTGCCTTTCCTGTGCCAGGCCATTAATGTCTTCATTCTAGATCAACAGTGTCCAAAAGAAACATAATGCGAACCATAAATGTGACCCAACTATGGATCACAAATTTGAGCCAACTATGTAATTTAAAATTTTTTGGCAGTCACGTTAAAAAAGTAAAAAGAAACAAGCAAAATTACTTTTAATAAAATATTTTAATCCGATATCCAAATATTATTTCATTACGTAATCCATATAAAAATTGAGGTATTTTACTTTTTTTTATTCTAGAGCCTTGTAACCTAGCATGTATTTTGTGCATACAGCGTATCTCAATCAAACTGGCCACCCTGCAGCTGCTCAGCAGCCATATGTGGCTGGTAGCTGGCAGGCAGTTCTTTACATTAAAGGTTAGGAAAGAGGGGAGATGTCATCTTTGTTCCCGACCCCATCTTGCTACTAATTACGTAATATTTTTTTCAAATTCTAAAGTCGTTTACATTCATTATTTCATTTGATAGTGAAGTATGGTAGCAATCATCTCAGGTAGAAACTATAGTTTAACTTTAAGCCTGCTGTTTGGTTTCTGTACTTATTTGTTTGCTAAAATAATAGAAAAGTTATTTTGATTTTCTGAATTATATAAATTATCCCCTTCGATTAAATACCCTATTGATTGTAATGTGAGTATCTCATGGGTTGTGGTCATACTGGTCTTCAAATGTGCTTTCTAAAAGCACATTTTCCTTTATCTGGGAAGGACAGCACAATTATCCCAAGGTCAGAGGGCTCCAGTGTCCCTGTTGACTCAGTGTTCTGGGGACTCAAAACTGTGATTTAGATAACATGCTGCTTCTGCTTCTGTAAACTTTTTTGCAAACCAGGTTCCTCATTCCAGACCCGAGGGCTCTAGATAATGTGTTTCTGTCAATTCAGTGATCTGGAGACCCAAAACTGTAATTTAGATAACGTGCTGCTTTGCTTCTGTAAACTGCTTTTTACAAATCAGGTTCCTCATTCCAAACCCTGGGATGTAATCAATACCTTTGTGATCTTTGCCTATATAAATCTGGTATTGCGGCCATCTTATCACTATGAGATTTGGGGAATGGCCCCTCATAGTCCCGGATTGCAGTAAATGTGACTCTTTAATTCGACTTCTTGAGGTGTCCTTCTGTGATTCGTGGGGTACATTACAACAATAGGAACATGCCTCACCTTGAAGGATGGATTATGTTATAGGAGGTGGGGAAAAGTCCCATCAAGAGGAAACAAATGAGCAGAAGTAACAGGGAAGGAAAACCAGGGGTCTATTAGGAAAGTAGAAGTCAGGGAGAGAAACCTAAGAAAATGTATCAGGGAAGCCCTCAACAGTCTCCAGACCAAGGAGTCTGGGTGCTATTTCTCAGGTAGTGGGGAGAAACAAAGGTTGTCAGCAAGCAAGTGGCAAGATGCATCAAATAAGCAGCTAAATATAGCATGTAAGGGACTGAGAGAGGCTAGAGGTAGTTCATTAGGAAATTAAACCTTGGCCCCCAGAAGTTCCCTTCCTCTTTCCAAGATTGTTTTAAGTGCAAAATATAACTTCCGAAATATAATTTTCATTTACATTTTAGATAAGGTGATTTAGGAACTTTTCTGAGATGAGACATGATGAGAACTGGAAAAAAAAAAAAAAGAATGCAAGCAGCCATTAGGAGGACTCCACAAAAAAGAATACAAAGTACAAAGGCCTTGAGATAGCAACAAGCTTGCCATACCCAGGGAACAGAAAGAACCCCAGTGGATGGTGCAGGGGTGTACACACACAGCAGCACATAGTTGTTATGCCCAGATTTCAAGATCCTCAACAGACCAACAGGGAGCCAGCCAAGTCCGATGCAAAAGCAGAGAGTCCTTTATTATTATTACAGACCCAGGTCTGGCTCCCCTACCCTCCTTACTGACACAGCAGCAGGTGGCAGAGAGAGGCCTAGCCCGGCGTGAAGAGGAGTTTTATAGGGGGGTGGAGTCAGGATAGGAGAGGGGACTGTGGGCCCTGCCGATTGGCCAGGCGCAAGTCGGTGTCTCATTACACAGGATGTGGTCATCTCTATGGCGTGCACTTCCCTTGATTGTCATTGGTTAGTTTAAAGAAATCCTGGGCATGGCTAGCAGAGGCTTGGGCTTCCGGGAAGAAGGTAGCACATGGCTGCTGCCCCAACATGGAGGATACCGGGCAAGATGGAGGGTGTAGTCCTCGCCCTTTCAATAGTATGTGGTCCGTACTGAATGAATGACTGAGACATAGTTTCTTACTCCTGTCACCTCTGCAATGCTGGCATGCAGGAGCTATCGATAAGGAATAAGCAGAGGTCTAGAGTATTTTTCAGTTGCCTCACAATGTTACCGGAAAGGAGACCTGGTCCTTGTTGGGTTTGCCTAGGGCCGGCCAGTAGTGTGTGGGTTCTTGACTTCGTGCAGGAAAAATTTCACAACATGAGTCCAGATCACTATGAGGGAACATTTATTAAAGCTGGGGACATAAAATAAGAAAGGGCTTAACATAGAAGCAACAGGAGAGCAAGGCTGGGCTGCCCTAGCTCTCTGGGAAGTCAGAGAAAAGAGAGCCTTGGGGTCAGGTTTGGGGGCCTAGCCTGCAGAGCTTCCGTTGACCTTTATTCCCCAGGTTGCAAGTCTCGTGGATTCCCGTGGGGGTTAGGCGATGCATGCCTGTGGGGGAAGAAGTAGGGGGGAAAGACGAGGGAGAGCACGCACTGGGTCCTTTGTCTTGAGGCTTTATTTCCTTCTGGAAGGTGGGAAAGTTAGGGGAGGTCTCAGGAGAGGGTTTTAGCAGAATTTTCATCCGTTTTCTAGGTGTGCTCCTCCAGGGCCTTGGTCTTCACTGACTGGTCAGTGTCAGGGCAGGGGGTCATCTGTCATCACAGCTGGTCCTGGTGTTGTCCACCTGGTTTTGCTGCTTTTCCGGGCCAGAGCCTAGATGTTATTTCTAGGGACATGAACTTCTGTATCTGCTGTGAATTGCTCTGCTAGTTTGTTCAGCTGTCTCAGTTTCCCTATTCCTCTTGTCCTGGCTTACTGGCCTGTGTCAATAAGAGCTGATAAAAAAACATCAGCTACTTCTGGTGACCCAAGAACAGAAACACTGGTTTAAAATGCGTCAACGTAAGAATCATCCAAACCTGTAGAAAAATTTTACCAGTTCATTTGAGTCAAACTGATGACAATTGCCAGGATACAAAAATCTCAGCAGATGGAGAAAATGCTCTGGAGAACGGCAGCTTTACTGTTTGGTTTACACATTACAATCAAAGGAAAGCCACAAGGGGAGGTACATGAAATCCACTGGTGGGTATGGAGAATGCAAAGGCAGGGCGGGGGGTGGGGGGATCTCTGGAATTGGATAAAAAGTAAAATGTAGAGACACATATTTCTTTGACATTGCTGGGTACAGAAAAGCTAACCTTTACAGCACATAGAGATGGTATGGGGGGGGACAAGGTAACAATGAGGGGTTCTGCGGTCTCCTACTGTGGTTCAGGGGTTGTGCCCTGAGGGGTCTGGAAAAGGGAATTACTCTGATATTTCAAGGGAATGCTATCCTCGGTGCAAAAAGACAATCAGCAGGATCAGTGAAGGTAAGGACCCACCTTTGTCCTTAAGGGAAGATAGCGGCCCAGGCCCAGGACGAGACTGCCCGCCAGGACTTGCTTTAAATGAGTAAGTTTGCATTTCAGACCATAGGCGGTTACTTTGGGTGCGGGTCCGAGGCCAAGGCCCGCCATGCAGGCCTCCCCGGAGCGTGTCAGGGTTAGTGTGTGGCCCCTTTTCGTCCACGGACGGAATCAACACACCTAGCGGGTGCCTGTGTGTGTGCTTCCAAAGGCTTAACAACCAAGCTCCCTACAGCCCGGCCCCCGCCCATCCGGACACAATTCTCAAACACTCGGAGGAACTTCTGTGCCAGCGCTTCTCCCCCTGCAGGGCGCAACCTTGCCTCCCCGCCCCGGGGCCTCGGACAACCGGAAACAGCTTCTCTTTACCGGGCGTTGCAAGGAGGCCCGGCCAGATCGGATGCAAAAGGAGACGGAGAACCTCGCCTGCAGAATCAATCCCTAATGTCACATCCGCCCCCTTCCCGGTGGGCTCCCTCTACCGGAAGTCGCCGGCATGACGCGGCAAAAACGCCAGTCGGGGGCGTGTCCCCCGCAGCCAATGGGCTTCGTCCACCTCCCCTTCCGTCACCGCGTGCCTGTGACGTCAGGGGCGGGGCGTGGAGGGAGGGACGGGAGTTGGAAGGCCGCTCCGTCGCCCGGAGGAGGGGAACGGGGATCAAGATGGTCTACATCGCGAACGGTGAGTGGGGGCCGGGGTACAAGGGCCCCTGGGCCGGGTTCGGGTCGGGGTTTCCCCCACCCTCGCCGCGGCCCGCGGTTCTTCGGGACGTGGCGCCGCGGGCCGGGCGGACCGGGCGGACCGGGAGGCGGAGTCACTGGCCAGCGGCGCGTCAGCAGACCGTCCGGGAGCGGGTGGGCGAGGGCCGGTCCCCGTGGTCTACCGGCCGGACGGGCGCCCTCGTCGGGCCTCTGATTTATTTTTATTTGTATTTTTATTGTGGGTCTCGCGGAAGGGGTCTTGAGTCTCGGGCGTCTGTGTCCTTAACTAGAAATAGCAACATTAACGCCCTCTGCGTAGCGCCTGTGCCTCAGACACTGTCTTCGCGTTGTTCGCTTACCATCTCATCCCGCCCTTTTAACAGCCCAGTAAGCTAGTATTTTACTTTCCCGACCTTACGGATGGCGACTGAGGCGTAGGTAGATCTCATTGTCCAGAGTGACAGTGGTAGCTAATGGCTCAGTGCGGATTCGAACCGAGGTGGCTGGCGTCCGCGTCCTGCCGTGACCGAGCGCCCTGCCTGCCTTTCGGTAACCGACCCGAGAGAAGCAGAGGGACGCTCTGGGCGGGCTTTTCCCGGGAGAGGGGAACTAGCCATACGTGGCGTTTTTGCCCGATTTCAAGAGGCACAGGAAGAAGCACCAATCCCTCGAGAGCAAGTTAATTTTAGTCCCGGAATAGAGAATCCGAGAGAGACTTCAATCCCGTGACTTCACAAAGAAAATGCCTGGAGAGGAGAGGCAGTCGGACTGGGCCACCTGTTGGATTCAGGCGAAATAAACGCCTAGTACAGTCTTAGCAAGGAGCTCGTGGATGGCGGGAGCTAGGTGCTGGCTGTATTGAATCATCTGTTTATCTTCCGAGATGATTAAGATAGTCAGTGCCTGCACTTTGTATTTCTTTGCTCTTCAAAATCTCTCTCTCCTTTCTCCCACTTAAAACTCTTTGAAACGGGTAGGTTGATGGACACACGCCAAAATTACAGCTTCATCCTCGTTTGGGCACTTGCAAACTTTGTGTTTTATCCTTTGTGATCAAGGCTGGCCGCTTCTATATGTGCATCGTTGAATGATGCTTTGTGTTTGTGGTGTGTTATTGTGCATGCGTAATCATATTTGATCCACTTAAATAACACAAAGGCCTTTTATTTCACGTATATAGTTGGGAAATGCCAGTTTGCATTCAAGCAACTCATTTCCCTCTAAGAATGTTCGGAGGGAAGGTTTCTGCCTTAAGAAACCAAGGGAAAGTGCAAAACGCTAGAATGATGCAAGTGCCTGCAATAAGTTCCTTAGAATCACTCAGGAAGAATTGGTGGGTTCCAATTAGATCTATTTTCTGAGGAGGACTGGATTTATCAGCACTTCAGAGTTAAAACATTTCCTGTCAGGTTACTTCTTCCCAAACAATTCTATACGATTAGCCCTGGAATGTTTTTTCTCAGAGAAGGAAAATGTCACATCAGCCAACGGTGCAGAGCCAGTAAGAGGCAGAACCTGTCACCCATGCTGTGTCTTTAAGTGTGGCCCTTTTTTCTCAGTAGTGCTGTGTGTTAGACACACCTGACAGTAAACTGGTCAAGGCAAGAGGGAAAGTAAAAAGCATGGAGAAGCCCTTGGGGAAATGGAGAGGAGACGTAGTTGACAGGCAGCTCTTCCAGAATATTCTGACCTCTTGATTTGCAAGGCTGAAACTCTAGAGTACTAAACTTTTCAGGTTATAGCTTTTATCATTTCAAGTGGTTTGAAAAATAGATCCTCTTTTGCTTAAGATAAAGCTGAAGTCTATAATTAGAATGAATAGCTTTTTTTACAGAAAAATAGTCATTTTAATGAATAAGTCAAATTCTCTTCAATACTTAGAGCACACAGATTTCTTTGATTTCTAAAAATTTTATCGAAATAACTGAATCTAAGACCTGGAAGAGTATGTGTAAACAGTCTTTTTGTGCAGGCAAGAGGCTTTGCAAGTGAAAAGGAGTACCTTGAACACGTTTAGAAAAATTGAAGTGATGTGAGTTTACATTTACCCATTTGTTTCCTCAAAATACTTGAATAAACAGATACTTGTGCACCCATGTTCATAGCAGCATTTTCACAATAGCAATCCAAGTGTCCATCAACAGGTGAATGGATCAACAAAATGTAGTACACACACACAATGAAATATTAATCAGCCTTGAAAAAAGCAGAAAATTTTGACACATGCTGCAACATGGGTGAGCCTTGAAGACATTATGCTAAGTGAAATAGCTGGTCACCAAAGTACAAATATTGTGTAAGCCCTCATGAGGTTCGTAGAGTAGTCACATTCACAGAGACAGAAAGTTTACAGGGGCTGAGGAAAAGGAAAAATGGAGATTAGTGTTTAAGGGATACAGAGATTCAATTGGGACAATGAAAATGTTCTGGAGATGGAGGGTGGTGATGGTTATACAACAACGTGAATATACTTAACTAGAGGCCTGGTGCACGGAGGTGGAGATGGGCGGGGTCCCTCAGCCCGGCCTGTGCCATCTCACAGTCTGGAACCCCTTGGGGGTTGTCTGCCTGCCAGCTTGGGCCCGTTCCCCCTGGGGATCGGGCCTAAGCCGGTAGGCGGACATCCCTCTTGCAGTCCAGGACCCCTCACTCCTTACCGCCCATCTGTAGCAGAGGTAGGAGAGGCTCCTGCCACCACCACTGGGCTCGCCAGCTGAGAGCCTGGCTTCTGGCTGAGCGGTGCTCCCCCTGGTGGTCAGTGTGCGTCATAGGGACCAGTCTTCAACCGTTCGGTCTATTTGCATATTACGCTTTTATTATATAGGAAGGATGTTGTAGAGTTGTATACTTCAAATGGTAGATTTTTGTGTGCGTATATTTTTACCACAATTAAAGAGAGAAAGAGAGGAAGAGAGAGAGAGAGAGAGAGAGAGAGGGAGAGAGAGAGAGAGAGAGAGAGAGAATACTTGATCATCCCCCAAATTACAAGTTTTAGGAAAGCATTTGACATAGTAAAGGAATGGCCCCTAGATCACAGAGAGTTACTTCTCTGAATCCTTCCTTAGAATGATGTGTAAAACAGACCTCTCTTTTTTGTTGACTATTTGGAACAATGGACATGTTGAAAACGGAATCTATGATTGTTACTTAACTTATTAAATGTAATGTGTCTTTTGTCAGGGATTTGTAGTACTAACTAAAGTTTCTTTATTCTTGTCTGTAGGACAAGTGTTGGACAGCAGGAGTCAGTCCCCATGGAGATTATCTTTGATAACAGATTTCTTCTGGGGAATAGCTGAGTTCGTGGTTTTGTTGTAAGTATAGTAGAAGTCTTAATAGCCCTGATACTGAGGTACATTATGTTGTATATCATAAACAAGCTCAGCTTTCCTGAAGCAGTTTTTAATGTTTTCTAAATTAATAGCTTTACTAAAGGAAATGCCACCAGACATCTTATGACTATGAATATGTTAGTTAAGTTGGTAAGCTAGACTATACCTTAGTCTTGATGGTAATCATATCAACCTGCAGCTCTGGAGCCAGGTCTGCCCATTCTAATACCTAATGACAGCACCCCACTTTCTGTCTACTATTCCCAGCTTTAGTGTGTATGTGCAAATTTTATTCAATATTATACAAAATTGGCTTTTTTGTTTTTTAATTTTTTTTTTAAATATATTTTTACTGATCAGAGAGGGAAGGGAGATTGAAAGAGAGAAACATCAATGATGCGAGAGAATTATTGATCAGCTGCCTCCTGAACGCCCCCTACTGGGAATCAAGCCCGCAACCCGGGCATGTGCCCTTGATGGGAATCGAACCTGGGACCTTTCAGTCTGAAGGCTGACGCTCTATCCACTGAAAAAAACCGGCTAGGGCATTGTTCTTGTTTTTTAATAATTAAAGGTTAGAATCAATACAGAGGAGACAAATTTAAACTTCACCATAATTTCAAGCAATTCTTAATTAAATGCACTTTTTGGTCTTTGACCTGCTGTGTATTTTATGAAAATTATCCATTAATTATTAACAAGTCTTACTTATCCTAAGTTTGAATATATATTTGAGTGTCTCGTGGATAGAGAACTATAGGGATGCAGAGATGTGGGAGATAGTCCTTTCATTGACTTTAATATCAGTAAATATCTTTATGCTGTAAGGCGGAATGGTGGGCATGATTGTGGGAGGTCGACATCAGAGGAAGTTATTCCAGGTGGAAGAAACAGGAAAGGTGGCAAAAAAGTTTGAATATCAGTCTGTGATCTTTATACTTAATTTGATTATGCTATGGTTTAGAAAGATTAATTTGGTGGCTGCATGTAGCATAAATTAGAAAGGGTGAAATGGAAGCGACAGCTCCAACTTAAGTTACCCAGATCAAAACTTTTTTATAGTTTTATAAATTTTACCTATTCCGTATTATTTATTAAAATACTCTTTTAACTTAGTTAAATTCGCCCTCCTTCATAAATAAAAGTTCATTTAAATGGATTCCCAGAAGGTCTGTACCTCTGGCATACCACTCTTAGCCCTCTCTGTCCAAGGTAATGAAAGGTAGGCTGTCGGTGGGGAAAATGCAAGAGCAATGAATGTGCAGTACTGTAAAACCAGACTGAGCCGTGAGGAAGAAGTTGGGATGACTGTCTGGGAGACTTATCAGCAAATAAGAAGATAGGAAGGGCGGCTTTGGCACAGAACATAGCGCACACTGTTGAGACAAGTGCTCGTGTTAGATGGTGGTGTCATGATGGCTTTTCAAAATGTGGGCTTGGAGCTAACTGTCTACCCAGAGATGATAGTCGAAATCATGAACTACATTTTATAACGCTGAAAGTGGCTCTTCTGTTTTCTGCCCCTTGTTTCAGTTTCAAAACTCTGCTTCAGCAAGATGTGAAAAAGGGAAGAGGCTACGGAAACTCATCTGATTCCAGATATGATGATGGAAGAGGGTACAGCTTTTTATTTGTATTTATTTTTATATCTATAATATTTATCTCTTAGACCTTTAACTCTAAGGGAAAAATGGGGGGAAATGAATAAACTTTCAAGGTCATGGTAGTTTAACCCCCACTTCATTTTATTTTATTTACTTTTTTAGTCATTGATTTTTAAAAAAATTTATCTTTATTGTTGAAAGTTTTACAGATGTCCCACTTTCCTTCCCTCATTGATCCCCTTCACCCCCCCTCCCTTGCCTTCACTGCACTATTGTCTGTCCATGGATTATGCATGCACCCATGTAAGTTCTTTGGTTAATCTCTTCCTGCCACCCTTCCCCCCTTTCCCTCTGAGATTCATCGGTCTGTTCCATGCTTCCATGTTTCTGGATCATTTTTGTTTGTCAATATATTTTGTTTATTAGATTCCACATATAAGTGAGATCATGTGATACTTGTCTTTCTCTAACTGGCTTATTTCCCTTAGCATAATACTCTCCAGGCTTCATGCTGCCTCAAAAGAGGATATAGCTTTTTAAATTGATAATAGGTGTTTTTACCCTTTTGTATATTTTAATCAGATTAGATTAGGTTGATTTGATTGATAGATAGGCTTAATGGAAATTAAAGGTTTAAATTCTGTTTCACAAAATTAATGCATTACTATAAATAAGTCAAGTTGCCTCTGATTTGATAATATAGTCAACCTGGCAAAGCTAAAATGTACATCATATATCCGATGGGAAATACCTAAATTAGAGGATAAAAACTGAGAGCCAACATTGAAATCTAGAGATTTCACTTTAGAATCTAGATTTCCAGCTGCTAATGAAAAACTCAGAAGATCAAGCAGCAGGGGTTAGGGTTGTGTTTCCATGTGGCAAAAATCAACTGGAACTGGAAGTGCTGCTCAGTTCATCATAGTCCTTGCCTGACTCACTTTCCTCATGTGCTTTATATGTCTGGCCCCTGTCAAAGTTTGAATTTTTGACCTAAATGGTATTTTAAATAAAAGGTTCTATTTGAGTGTTTAAAAGGAACCCATTTAAGATGTCTACTAAACAGTATAAATTAACTTTTTCTTTTATTAGGCCCCCAGGAAACCCTCCCAGAAGAATGGGTCGAATTAATCATCTGCGTGGCCCCAGTCCTCCTCCAATGGCTGGTGGTGGATGAGGAAGGTAACTTAAAATTTGAAATTATTCTACAGGGATTTTATTTTGTAAATGCCTCCTTAGGAAGGTCTTTAAGAAAATAGAAGCTGCCTAACACATTATTTGGAAAAATATTTCTATCCTAATCCTTGAAAAATCCTTTGCTTTTATTATCAAAATATCTTCTGAAACAGGTTTATAACATGTAATGATTGTTGGATTTTTCAGACAGATCTGAATGAATAACTAGCAACTAATTATTGTAACGCTTTCTTTTAGGTAAATGTCTGCTCTAAGAAGCAGACAACTGGACATGCACATTCATAGCGGAAGGAAACCATCAAGCAGTGGAGGGCTGACCAGTCTGGACAAGTAAATGAATGTGTATGTCTAAACAAGAATTACTCTGTGTCCTCACAGACGAATGAGGTCGTGTTGGGAATTCCCTCACAGGGATCTGGCATGACTGACATGCAATTCTATAAATGCACATGTTTGTCTCATTATCTTTTTGTATAGTTCATTGAAAGTGTTAATATAGTTTAATAAGTAAATATTTTTAGGTTACATAATTGACTACTCATCTTTATATAATTAAAACTCCAAATTTGAAGAAAATTAAAAGGCTATGTATTTAGTACTCTTGGTGTCCTTTTTCAACTTCTGAAAATGTTCATTGTTAATTTGTTCTCATATATAAATAAATCACATTGTATTTATTTCAGTAGTATGCATACATCTGTGTTTTTGAATTTTTATCTAGAAACATTTGTCCCGTAAGTCTTTAATACAAGGTGTTCGATTTGCTGCTGTATATAATCGGAGTATTTATAAAGCCATAACCAACAAAACTGAGCTACAAAATGAAGATACAAAATGAAGACTAAGTGGTCCTTAAATATACAGACTTCAATGCTATCTAGACAAATTTGAATTCTAAAGAGTTGTTTTGTCTTTAACCTCATCTTGAATGCTGGTAACTCACATTCTTTCACCAAAATGGAAGCTCTATGAGGTTCCATTTACCCCAATACTTTGAACAGTGACATGTAATAGGCACTGAAATATTTATTGGAAGAATGAATAATACAGATAATTCTACTTCCAATGTTTCACAGACTTTGCAACCGAAGTGTTGAGATAAAAGTATTTTTATATCCATTTATAAGTATTTATTCAACCCTATTTGCCATGAAATGGGGATGATATCAAAGTGACTTTTACAGAAATGGTAAAAGTGGGAGTAGGTTTTGGGGGGGTGTTGGGAATTGATGAGTTCCATTTTGGACATAAATGCCTTGTCCACATCCAAGTGGCAATACCAAATAATCAATGGATCTCGGAAAGGTCCACATGCAAACATATATTTGGGAGTTATCTTCATATTTAAAGCCATGAAACTGGATAAAGGCATCTGTGGGGCGCAGCTACAGTGTTTTGGACAGGTTCAAGCCTTGGACTGAGGAGAGGGCACAGTCCTCTCATTGCCACATGCAAGTCCCAGCTTGGAGGGCAGAGCCCTCAGCACAATTATAGCCAACGGCTATAGTGGTAAACTTGAACCTATGGTCCCAACACGTGGCCCCACGTGCCTGAGTGATATAGTCCAGGTGCATGTAGTTGAGTAGGACTGAAACCCACGAGAATGTTGTTAAACATCTTGATCACGCCCTTACTTTGCCTCCTGGATCTGCTATAAAATACACAGCTTGTGGGCGCTGGGCGCTATCCATCAGAGGGAGCAGCGTCCCACCGAGCGAACCCAGCTTTTCATTTCTCTTGTCTGTCCTTTTCTTAATCCCCCCGCCCCCCCCC